CCCCCAAAAAATAAAGTAAAAATAGAATAAACTAAAAGACATTAAAAAATAAATAAACAGGCCAGAGAAACTGAATTTTATTTGCTTAGAATTTTGGAAATAAATCCATGTCAAAGTTCATGATTATTTCCATGTAGACTTGTAAGATGATATTGAAAATATTTCATAATTCAGAAATATTATTAAAAATCTAAGAAAATAAATGTGCCTGTGCCCTCTTCTATGTGGTCAGCATATGTATATGTTCCCTTTTGGCTTAGGACCACATAGAGCCAAAGAGAACCATTTGTGATAAGAATGCCTTCCACAGAGGTCAAGCTTCCATAACTATGTGAGAAAATAACTTGCTGAAAGAAAGTTGTATTAAATTAGCATCATTTCATTGATATTCAAGTTCTCAAGCTCATCTACTATTTGGAAAATGAACAGAACAGACTTTGCCAGGTCCTAAAACATGGCATAAATAACTTCAGACAAAGCATAGGTGTGTGAAACAGAGCACGGCTAGTCTGGAAACTGTTGAGAATAATTAGCATGGACTAAATGAATTAGTCTTTTTTCAGTACTCAGAGTAGAAACTTTAGGTAACAGAAACAAGTGTATTTTAATGACCTACTCAGAACTTGCTGAAATGATACACCAAGCATGTTAGTTATTCTGACAACACTAATTGACCATAAGGATATCTACCATCTTAAACTGCCATGTATAAGAGATATCCCAAGAAAACTTACCAATCAGACAATAACTCATTACTCATAAATGTCTATAAAAGCACTATAAAATTGTCTAATATTTGTAATACAATTTCGGAGTCTTTTTTCTTCTAAACTTATATCATGAGAAGTTTGGTTGAACCCAACTTTTCACCGCATTTATTATTTCAAATTAAGTATGTCATAGAAAGACAGTCTGATGTCTTTGACATGGATTTATTTCAAAAATTCCAAGTTTTCCTAATATCTATAGATAGCAATTAAGCCATTATGGATACAGAATTTTCAAAACCCTAACTCTAGGTCAGGCTTATGTGGTTTGGAACGACATGTTTCTTTGCTTTCCTGGGAAGACTGTTTCAGCAATGATGAGTGATGAAAGTTCTCTATTTTCAACACCCTCATAAGTTGGTTGAACATGATATATCAGCAGCTTATTGACTTGAGAATGATAAGGAGTATTACCTCCCCCAAAGAAGTATTAAGATGATTTATAACAGGTAAAAACTGATTCTAGCTTTTCTGTTAAATGCAGGAAAATTTACAAGTTTTATGCTCTCTTAAATGTCTACCTTAAAAGCATTTTTTTCCTTTGTACACTAAAAGGACTCAACTTTTCATCTCATCATGACTTTATAAACTGATATGTCCTTAGCAGATGTATACTAAAATCTTCAATAGTACCTGGCACGTGGGTATTCCAAACATGTTAGCATAAGATGTTACCTTTTCATCATTTTTCAGTTTAAGTTTGGTTTAGCTAGATCATGAATACAGTGGTCCAATTCAAGAGAAAGGTGAGTGTGTGTCCAGAAATGGTCATTTCTCTCATTAACATTTATTTCAAATTTTAATCATTGGCTTACTATATGAGGTTTTCCATATTTACATCTTATATCATTTAATTTAATTTCAACAGTTTTATTTCAAAGTAAAATAGATTACTATACTAGTAAACAGCTTTGGTATGATGAGCTTTCTACGAAACCTTAAGAATTAGTAAATAATAATTTAGAGTTAAACTGTCACAACTATAACAAACTTACTACTGTTAGCAATGAGAACAAAGTAGAATTGGAAAGCCTGCCTTAGAGGTACATGTTCTCCAGGTGAGTGACAGGCAGTTTTTAGGGGATGATGGGGCCCTCTCTTGATCACAACCTACTAGTGAAGAAGGAACAAAAGAAGACATGGAGTGACAGCATTGAGCAGGTCCCATGCATCAACTTTGTCTTTTACTGGGCACTTTTATCTCTAACACTTGAAGTATTTTATTTTCAAGGTAATTGACTTTTATCCCCAAGCTAGAAATACAGTTGGGTTTTAAGGAAATAAAAACAAAAATGATAAGTTTCTATTATTCAGGACTCTTTCATTCTTACATGTAACAAGGGATGTAAGTATAGTATAGTAAGTACTTCCGAGATATAATCCTAGATGTAAGGCATTATGAAATGACTTTCTACTTACTTAAAGGACTACATCCCAAAAGATTGTTTCTCACTGCCGAGTTGCGGATAGCCACTGTGAGGCTGAAGTTTATAGAATCCCTCATTGACCCCTTTCGCTCTCAGCATCCTTATGCATGATGTCTTGCATCTTTACATCACTTCAGTGTCTACTGTGGCTACACTTTTGAAGTAATCCCAGCTTTTAAATTCTCCAAACCCTGTGATGGTTCCAAGAAATAGAAATTTATTTCTCACTTATGCAACAGAAGGCTGTTTTCTACAGGAAACTCTGAAATTTTCTCTAAATATAAAACTATTCCTCTTCCCAAATTTAAAGTTAAATAGCTAATGAGTGTTAACTCTCTGAGCCTAGGTAGTTACTTCCACTTGATGACCCAGGGTCCTGAATCTTCATTCCACATAGATTAGTTCAATGTTGAGTCCTAACCAATATCAAAGACACAGAGAATTTGGCACAAAGTCTGGTTGCTTAATAGCTTGAACCTTACTGTATATTTTTTCTCCTCACATTCCATTAGCCTAATCTAGTCAAAGGCCAGGCGCTAATGATCAGATAAGTTAAGTATAGATTCAAGAGTAGAATAACTTCTTTCCTTACCTCTCTTATTTTGTACGTATTTTCCAACACTTAGAAACATATCTGTCTACCTAACCAAAAAAGACATCCCAAAATCAGTCCACCTCCCCTAGTCAATTCTAACCAATACTGATTAGGTTGGTCTACATGATTATGCCCAGTGACTCCAGCAGTGACTGTCTGTACACTTGACAGGCTGAGAGCTCAGATGACCTGCCAGCATTCCTGGAGAGCTGCTGACCTCCAAGCTCACACTGAATGGTCCATGAAGCTGGATTCTGATGGCAGCCACAATGACAACAATAATAGGATATAAATCTATTAAAAAGCCTATCAGCAAAAAGTCAAGCAGGTAGCAAAAAGTCAAGCAGGTAGCAACAGCAACTCCTTTCCAGCGGACCTCTTGACTCTTAAGCTAGATGCCAAAGTCATGCCCATTGTTTAGAAGTTTTTCTCTGACCCACAGTTAATCCTTCCTGGAAATACCTTTAGTGATTAGGCCAGATATGTGTCTCTTACTTAATGTCAGATTCAATCACATTGAAAAATGAAGATAAATCATCACAACTTCCAACTACATCTAGCTCTATATCCACAATCTTTGATGATGAATATTTTTTTTCATGAAGTCACAGTCTCCCCGAAGAGCTAAATGAGTTTGAACTTGAAATTCAAGTTATCTGCTTCACTTTATCTGCCACATTTAACAGATAATAGTGGAGTCAGAACCAGGTAACAAGAAAAGTAGTAAATAGCCTAGTCAGTACACCAAAAGAATTTCTATGTTCCATTGGGCAGTCCCTGTGGAACCATTGCTATGGTAGAGATTACTGCTGGCTCCTCTGCCTGGGAGAAGACCTCATGCCCATTATTCTATAGATGTGCTTCCCTTGCATTAAGTCTATCTGTCCATCCAGACTCCAGGTGGGCAGTAGAGAGAATTATCTCAAAGTTTGCTTTTGTTATAATTTAGATTTTGTGGAATAAATATGTGGTTCCAGAATTGTATACACTTTTCTGGATTTTAGGCCCAGCTTCTAGTTTCTATGGTAATGCAATTACCTCAAAATTTTCATAGACGTTGATCAAATTTCTTCAGTCTGTTAAACATAACCTTTTTATATCTACATAAGTGCTGAGACCTACTTTATTTCTTTCATGCATTTCTTTCTTTCTCTCTCGTTTCTTCCTTTCCACTCTCTCTTTCATGTAAAATATGAAGTAATGCGACTAATGAAATCCTTTAATCTGTCAAGCTTATTAAATCATTAGTTCCTCCTCTCTTCTTTAATGATGGAATTTGCTCATGATGCTTCTTCTGGAGAAAGAATAACGTTCACTCTTCTTTGCTCAAAGACAATGCATCATGTGGCTTTTGTGTATTTAATGGCATCTGAACAATAAAGGAAGATGTGAGAATAACACAACACATATCCAGAGAATTATGGGCTGGCAGCCTAAGCAATACATCATGTTTTAGCATGAAATATTTTTCCCAGTTACTGCATTTTAAGATGTTGAAATTCAAAAATGTAAAATATTTATTTTATTATGCTTTGAGTATGATAACAAAAGAAAAATGTTTTTCTGAATAAAGCATCAGCTCAGCTTGTCTCTTCACCATGATGCTCCAGAATGGCTTGGGAGTTTGAAGGTGGAGGTCTAGCCATGGCTGGGTGAATCAGTCCTCTGGAAGTTTCATATGTATGTGGCTGGTGATTGAAGCTGGTTACTGGCCTCTCACTTGTCTACCAAATACAAAATGGCAAAGCCTCTTGTTGTGGATATGTTGTATGGATTGATTTAAGATTCCTCATAATATTGAGACTATTCTCCAAGCTAAGAGTTCTAACAGGGATATGCATATCATTTTTGTGTTCTAATTTTTAATGTCATGTAGTGGGACTTACATCATATAATTTGATTAAAGCAGGTGTAAATATCTGGTGATGTCCAAGATTGTAATAGTGATCTCATTAATTGATAAGAGGAAATTCAAGGTTTAGAAGAGTACATAACTATTTTTGCAGCCAGCCATTTTGGAATATAAATTTCATTCAAATTAATTAACATCTAATACATTATTCATTTTACATATATGCTATTATCATTATTTGATTGCATTTTAATATGTTCATTTTCATTTGCATATTGACTAAATTGTGCTCATTAAAATGATTTTCAAATTGGTAAAGAAAAGCAACGTAATAGTATCAAATGTCAATGTGTTTGCAGATTTCCCGGCACAGAAGGAATCATTCACAGCATGTGTTGAAAGATGTCATTCCACCACTAGAACATCCAGTAAGTGACAAATTTTACTATAGTCTTGTACTCTTGGATATACTACTGCAAAAGTTGCCTAAACTCAGTGACTTGAAACTGCACACATAATTATCAAACACTGTGGGAGTCCAGAATTTAAGTATGTTTTATTAGTGTCTAGCTCAGAAACAGTCAAAGGTTACAATCAACCTGTCACTCAGAACTGGATCATATCTGGCTGGCTGGCTGAGGGAGTGTCAAGCTCACTAACACAGTTATTGATGGGATTCACTTCTGTAAGAAATCTTGGATGTGAGTATTTTGTATCAAATACTATTAAAAGTATATTTAAGACAAGAGATTCAAATGTATGTATCCTGCCCCACCCAGTTAAATCTGTATTTACACCAAATACCCACTGCTCTATTCCTGCTCTATTCCAGCAACTTAATTGCCTGGAAGAGGACCCCTTCCTCTTTCCTCTTAAGATTTCTTTCTTTCTTTCTCTCCTTCTTTCTTTCTTTCTTTCTTTCTTTCTTTCTTTCTTTCTTTTTATCTTTCTTTCTTTCTTTCTTTCTTTCCTTCTTTCTTATTTTTTTTAAATCAAATCATAATTTTTACTTGTTCACACAGGGCTGATAAACACAAAAAAGCAGGATGTGGGGAAGGGAAAGACACTGGGGCGTGAGTGTTCAGGGGGAATACAGATATCTTTCAGAACAGGGTATCAGTTGGGTGAATGTTTAGGTGACAGGTCATTATGAGTCTGCCTATGATTCACTTGTCTTTATCTAAGGTGGTATTATCTGCCAAGGCTACCTATTTACAAGGTCTATGACTACTCACGCTGGTAAATTTCCATGAAAGTTGCTTGTTTACAATAGCTTATAGCCATCTGTTTCAATGTATTTCCACAGAGACCCAAGACTTGGTGCTAGCATACATGTATGACAGTCCTATTGCTGATTTTAGGACTATGGCTGCTTTTAGGCCTTCAGTGTATAAGCAGGAATGCCCCTGACATCTCCTCCCTTCTCTAAGTATAGACGGGCTGTGGCGAATCTAATCTTGAGAAGGCAGGGATAGAGGCCTGACCTCCAGTAATTGATGGGGACCTTGTTGTGGCTTCAGTCCCCCCTGTCGTTGTCCAGTGAGGCATGAGGGCCATACCTGTCCCAATATCTTTTTCCTGAAGAGGGGATACTTTTAACATCAACCCCTATGCAGTCAGGCTTGTCCCACAGGGAACCCAGAGAGATATTTTTAACTTTTATTTATATTCCCTTGCAGTGCTTAGCCTCGCAGCCTAAGTAAGAATTCAGATCGCCACTCAGAGGGAGTTCTGGGTGTCCCCTCTCTGCTTGGTCTAGGAGCAGAAGTCCCCTCTTTTAGGTTGGGTAGAGATGGGTTTTGGGAATACCCTGGATAGAGTAACAACCACATCTTGAGTCTCATGGTCCTCCATACCTAACTTATGATGATGTATCAGAATAGGTTTTGCTACCAAATTATTTATTTGTTGTTTCACAAAGTTAGTCAGCCTATTTAAGGCCCAGGGACCAAAAGAAATAAATAAGCAAAAATAACCCAATTAATGATCCCAAGATGGGAGGAAGTAGGGTTGACAACCATGGAGAGGTTGAAAACCAATTCTTGTACCAGCTCTTTAAGCCTGTAGAGTCTTTCCTTTTCATGAAATGCCATCCATAACAGATCTGCACTCCTGAGCTATTCACTTCCCATCTCATCCTGCAGTCATGATGGAGGTTAAAATGACCATTTTGTGTCTGTCAGCCTACAGTATCACTCCTTTACTCAAAACACTCAATGACTTCTGTTCTTCCAAAAGTTGAAGTTAGAAAGCAAACAGAAGTTCTCAAGTCTTAAAGATCCAGTTACCTCATTAACACAACCTCCTTCTTCTGGCTTAGTCTGCTTCAACCAAACTGGTTCTTCTTTTGAAGTGTTCCTTCACTTGTTCACTGATCTTTCCAGTAAACTGTAACTCATTTGTAACCATTATATTTAAGTAATATTGCAGCATTTACCTGCTATTATGCTGGTATCATTTTTTAAATTGAGTCTTAGGTTGATGGCTCACTGGGTAAAGGCACTTGCTGCCAACACATTCAACCTGAGTTCTACATTTGGGATACATGTATTAAAAAGAGAACTGACTTCAACAATCTGTCTTCTGGATTTCATATATCCACCTTGGATACACACACACATACACGGAATAAATATAAAATTTTAAATAGACTCTTGTTTAATGTCCTTTAACTCCCTTATTTACCCTTATTCAATATTCCTCTTGCACTTATAGGGTAGACAAATTGCTTTCTGTGTTCACTATTCTGTGTTTCTCATGACTGCAAGAGCATGGGATAACTCTATAAGTATCCTTTGAGTATATGAAGGAGTGCAAAGATAATGACTTTGAGTACAAGAAGAGCTACATTTCACTATTTGCATAAATGTTCAAGTACTAATTACTCATTTGTTCTGACACTTCTTTCTCACTAAAAGCAAGAAGTAAAATATGTGAAATTTACCTATCATCACTATCTCCCTCCTCATCTGGCTAGGTCCAGTCACAACAAATTCTAGTCCTAACTTTTATTTATATTCCCTTAGGTCTAGTCACAACAAATAAGTCCTAGACCTTTTCTAGGTCTCAAATGTCTTTTTTTTAATGTTTATTTTTCTTACCATCATTCACATACAACTCTGTGTGTGTGTGTTAATGCACATACATGTGAGAGTATATGTGCACATATATAGGTGAGCAATATGACCAACTGAGACATCTCTTCAGCCCCAACCTAGCCAGCCACCTTATGAACTAGCCTCTCATCAGTAGCCAGGTGATCACACACTTCTCTTTGTGACCACACATATCATCATCTTGACTTTGAAATGCCATCACTAATACTCCTTTATGTCTTTCACATACATCATACAAGGGCAAACTTGGGCAGTAACCCAAGAACAACCTTCTTTAAAGCAGTATTTTCAGCATGTCATTTTCCTTAACCAAACCAACTGGCTTCCTTTCACCTATAACATCAAGTTTATAGAATGCTCTCATGGTCTTGATTTATGCTGTATATTATCTCCTTCCAAATACACACCCTCAAGCCAGTAATAGAAGTATGATTGAGACATGACTTTTAGCCTGAAGGAGCTTGAGTTTTCTCTAGTAATTATGGTTCTTTCATCCTATCACATGTTCATATATTGCTACACTGTCCACTCTTATTTCATGGGTAATGGACTTGTTCCATGGCTGCACTGTAAATGCCTGGAAGTGAGGGGCCGTGACTTATGATCACTATGTTCTGTCATGCTTCCACTTATATTACTGTTGACATTATTGTTTGCTCTGGAAAGGCATGTTTGCCAATTGATGTAACAGAGATACTAAGGGTTTATAAAAAATGTTGGTTAAAAATATTAATAAATATATACTTGTTATTCAAATGAAACTCAATATTTTCAATATTGAAATTAGATGTATTTATAGTTGTTTTTCAAGATTATCAGTTTTGTGGGTTTTTTCTCTGTGTAGCCTTAGCTGTCCTGGAACTCTCAGACTCACAGAGATTCACCTGCCTCAGCCACCCAAGTGCTAGAATTAAGGGCATAGGCAACTACCACCTGTCCAGATTATCAGTTTTTAACTTTACATTTTTTAAGGAAACTACTTCCATGATTTCTCAAATTTGAAGTATAATATACCTTGTATAGTCTGCTTTCTGAGAGCAACTTGGACTTATCTCTTTTCCAGATAAATCGCACTAAAATTACTTCCTTCCTTCTTTATCTTCTTTACTGAGTTATAATTTATACATAAAGAGGGTTATGAATATCTTACTATTTCACTATTATTACTTAATATAGAATTTGGCACATTGTAGCAGCACAATGGATGAGAAAACTATATACAAATAATTATTCATGCATACATACATAACACATATACATGTGTGTATATGCACACAAATGTCTGCAAAATTATATTTGAGTAATATGTTAAAGCATCACAAATTTTTACATACAATATAACTATGAATTACAGAAGTTAAGAATTTTAATTGTAATTATTTTCAAATTTAATTAGTAACTACCATCCAGTTTTCTATTTTATAACTATGCCTACATATCAAGCATAACATAAGCTTAGATAAACCTTTAGGATAGTTTAAGATAGTCTTCTTAATTCATCTTCCTAATATTAAACTTATATTTTTGTTAACTAACATGTGGTGAGTGGTCTTATCTTTGCAGTTTCAATTTAAAAAGGACGAAAGAAAATATGTTACTTTGGAAAGTGACATTGAAAAGAAATAATAAAGCAAAGCAAAACATTTATTTTTAAAGTAAAATTCTAGTCTGTAGTCTCTCTAAAGATATTATCTTCCCCATCTCCACATGCACACAGATATGCATAGCCACTATTTCCACCAACTTTTCAAATTATCAATTATTTGATTCCTTGTTCTGATGTTGGCTGCCCTGCATCCTCTTTCTGAGCATACACTTAACTCACTCTGTATACTGAGCACCGGGAACATTCAACGTTTCCTCTATGACGTCTATTGGATTCTTACTTTTATTTTAAAGGGAGAAATGCCATCATTTATGTAAACTCCCATCTGGAGAGTAGACTGTCATGAAGAGTAACAATGAAAGAACCAGGAAGTTTTCCAAAAAAACAAATCTATACATTTTAAATTATCCATTACCATTCATGAAGCATGCTCTAGAAGACACAAAGTTTACTTTAAATCTGGTGAACTTGAACACTTCATCTACCTGAAGAGTCTTTCCCAGAACTTGGGATTGCTTGTATCTCTCCCTGTCTCCCTATCTCCTCCATGCCTCAGCATGGCAGTCCCAGTGTCCTGTTGTCAGCATCTATTAGGACATACTGTCATGTATGACACAACATACCAAAATATTTTGGGGCAATTATTTGAATTCCTTGATTCGATATTATTATTTATCTTTCTATTTTTAATATGAATTCACATGTA